GTCCCGGCTGGCCTCAACAGGCCCCCCAGGTCCCGACTGGCCTCCACAGGCCTCAAAGTAACTAGTTGGGCCCTCGAAACCCTAGCGCCGCCTCCGGCGGGTCCAGGGCGCTCCGCGTCCCAGGGTTTGGGTGCTGGGACCGCCCCAGGCTACTCGGGGGTCCTGTTGAGGCCAGCCGGGATACTAAGGAGGCCTGTTGAGGCCAGCCGGGATTACTTGGGGGCCTGTTTGTGCGCAGCCCGAAGCCTTACCACATACGGTCAGGAGCTTTGGCTTGGCGTGTCGCGCCGCCGGTTCTGGCCCACCACGCTTCGGCGCGGCAGGCTATCCACGTCTCAGGCCCCAGGCGTCAACGTACCTAGCCTTTCCCGGTCTGCTGCCTCGCGGAGCGGAGCGACACGCGATCTACTCACAATGCACAGCGTGTGGCCGTGGCCGCCGCCGCGACACGCTAAGCAACGTATTCCGACCGTAACTATTAATTTCCAGAGCTCCGCGCGGATTTCTTGGTTTGCGCTGGGTCTCCCTGGAACGCTCCGTGCGCCAGGATAGGGGGACCCAGCGCAGGTCCGAGAGATCCGCGCGGAGCTTCGAAAAGTCATGCTTTCGACGCAAAATCCGAACCCTGCCCTGGCCGATCAACGATTCAGGCAACTCGATGGGTGGAGGGGGTAGGGTTCAAAATTCGTCGAGGATGTTGCAAAGCCTGAGCCCTACCCCCGCTTCCCATCGGTGCAGGAGAATCCATGGTGGGTGCAGGGGGGGGTAGGTTTCCGATGCCGCCTCCTACAAATGGGGTCCGAGCAGATGGTGTAGGAGGACTGCGCCGCATCGACGATGCATCGCCGATGCATCTGCGATGCATCGGCGAAGCATCGGCAACGTCGGCTTTGCGTCGGCGACGTCGGCGTGGAGAACAGCTGGCTCCGCATCGCGCCATTGGCGTTGTGCCGTTGTTGCTTCCTCCAGGCGTGCCTGCTGCTGTCGCTGCCGGCGGGGCCGCGCGCCGATGCCGCGGCGCCGGCGGTGCCGGCGAAGTGCGAGCGGCTGGCGCCGGACGCGCCCGGCCTCCTGGAGAGCCTCGGCTGCGGACCGCGGCTCGCCACAGCGGCCGAAAGTCGTCGGGGGCCAGCCGAGAGTTGGTTGGTGACCTGGGGGGTGGGATCTGGGGGTGGACAGACCCCCTACCCTGACGCGTCGATCGAGGAATTGGCCGTTTTCGGTTCGCGAGAGGGCGTCGCAGCTGTCATTTTTGCGGGTCCAGGTCCGTCGGTTTCGGTCCCAGGCCGTTTTCACTAAGGGGAGGTTTGCCAAAGGGAGGTGTGTCCACCGCCAAGGGATATCATGTCCAGGGCCATGGTATCTTCCCAGCTTTCATGGCACTCCTCCTTGCCGCAGTGTCAAGTCGGGCCTGTCCCTCTGCAGGGGGAATATCAAAAAATAGTCAAACAACAGGCTGGGGACTTGTTTCTGCATATGTTGTTGGGGCATCTATTGGAGCGTTTGTTGGGGTATGTTTTTTTTTCTTCCAAAATCCCCCTGTAGGGGGACAGGCCCAACCCAACCGTAGCGCCTGGTCCCCCATCGCCTGCGCGCGCGCCTCGGGCCAGGATTTGCGAGTCCCCCTCTTGAACGCCGCGCTTCCCGGACGCCCCCGAGGTCGGGGGCACTGAGAGCTGGGGCTCGGGGGCGGAAAAGAGGAGGGTGATGACTAGGGGGGGGGGATATCATGGCGTGGGCCACCATATTTCCCCAGATTTCATGGCGCCTCTTCTTATTTCATTACGTCCCAGGCCCCCCCGCTGGGCCGCGCACATGCCGCCGGTCATGATTTGCACCCCCCCCTCTTGGAAACCCCCCTCTTGGCCGCTCCCCTGTGTTGGTCTCCAGGGGCCGTCTTCGGGCCCCGGGGTTCGTCAAAAACAATGCCGGGGTGAAAAACTGCGCCAGCTGGGCCCCAGAAGGGGTCCGCGGATTGATTTTGCAGACTTGCCCTTATCCCCCAATCTTGGCTGGTTTCTCGACCCCCCCCCCCCTCCCAGCTCAGACCCCCTGGGCGCCTTCAAATTGAAAGGACGCCCGCCCAGACAAAACGAAAGGAATTCTGCACGGGTTCGCTCGATGTTGACATTCGAGTGTGGTGGTGCAGGCCCCAGTCGGTTCCGCTAGTCGATATGAGTCTTGCCGGATACACTCGCTTGTACTTCGACTTCGATTAGTTGCCGCGCTGGGGTCCACTGGGAATGCGGTGCCGTGCGTATGTGGAGTGCCTCTGGGTTCTTTCAGTAAAGTATACTCGAGGGCGTCTTGCTGAAGCGCCCCTGACCCTTCGGACGTCCGTTGGTGAAGGTGTGTGTGTGTGTGTGTCGATGGATGTTCAGGAGGGACAGGGGCTCTTGTTTACTTGATTGGCGACTTCGCGCAAAGAATGGCCCACGGCCAAAATGGCCTCTGGTGCGAGCCCACGCTGTTGGCAGGTCTTGGAGGACGGTGAACCGCCCTCGGAGCGTTCGGGATCGCTCCCATAGCCTCCTTGAAAGCTCTGGAACGGCCGCGGCGCCGACACATCATTCAGTTCCGCGTGCTCTCAGAGGTTTCGGTTATGTCTCAATCCCATGTCACGTCCTTCCTGCGGTCGTGTCATGACTGGGACCCCAAATCGCCGAATGCGATGCGACAGCAGTGGCTTCCGCGCTTGTGTCTGGCCACCTCCCCGCGCCCCTCCTAAAAGCCCCGCGCAAGGGTTCGATCTTGCCTGGGGTCGTTTGGATGCAACTCTGGTGAGGTTGGTAGCGAAGGCGTTACGGCTGGTGCCGCCGACCCTACTGGGGGAACGATGAAGACGGCGGCGGCGGCAGCGGCGGCGACAACGACGACGACGACGACGACGACGACGACGACGACGACGACGACGACGACAACAACGACGACGACGCTGACGTGGTTCAGAGTCTTCAGGGATGCTTCCTTGTGATCTCTTCGAATCGCTTTTTTGGGCCTCTTGGGAGGATCTTGGAGGCCTCTTGGGAGCCTCGTGGGGGCATCTTGGGCTTCCTTGGGGCCTGTTTGTGTCCTGTAGGGGCTTTTGGGGGGCCCTTTGGGGGCCTCAGGGGGCCTTCTAGGATCCTCTCGGGGCCGAGGGCTCGAGATGTCTGGTCGGGTCTCCTGTCTGGGCACCCTCCTGGAGCCGTCTTGGGGGCCTCTTGGGCCATCTTGGAGGCCTCTTGGGCCGTCTTGGGGCCCGCTTGGTTCGATTAGGAGCCATCTTGGATGGCTCTTGGGTGGTCTTGGGGCGATCTTAGGCGCCTCTTGAGGAAGCCAAAAAGGCGAGAACGCTCAAATCGGTCAAAAACCACAGGACGGCCATTGCATTTTGCATATTGAGCCCTCTTCGGAGTGCTATTGGAAACCTCTTTACGCATCTTGGAGGCCTCTTGGTCCTTGTGGTGGCGTCTCGTCCTGATCGTTCGGCGATTCGGGGCCCTCGTGGATCATCTTGTGATCCTCTTGGGGCACTCTTGGCCCGTCTTGGGGACCTCCTGGGCCCCGGCGGGATCCCCGGGGGGAATGGTATTCTGACACGGGACCCCCCTCGACCCCCCCCCTCGCCCCTCCCCCGAGACCCCCCCCCCGCCCCCCCGCGGCGGGGAAGCGATCAACGGGAGGGCTTGGCTTCGACTCAATGACGACGTTGCTTATTTTCGTTTTGGTAGGCGAGCTCGAGGAGGAGGGCTCAGGGAAAGGACGGGAAAGGCTGCGATGAGCGCAGGAGAACTCTGCGACGGGCTAAAGGAAAGGGGAGGTAGCGGAGACGGCGGCGGCGGCGACGACAACGGAGCAAACAGAACAGCATCTCACGCGTGCCGACAAGGTCGGCGGATTTCAGCATCGGCGCTGGTAGATCCGCGTGGTCAAACTATTCTGATCTGGTACGATCCCGTCTACTCCGGTTCAGTTTCCGCTGCCTCGGCTCGACCCCCCCGCTGAAGCTGGCCAAACTCTGGCACAGCGACCCTTCCGTCAGGCTCAGTAGCCCCTGGTCGTTCCTGCGAGGACTTCCCAGGAGCCGCCCTCCAACCAGGGCGGCCGCGCGCCAGGGGTCGCTCCTTGCCTGGGGTCGCGCCCTGCGTTCCCCGCGTGCCGCGCCGAGGACTGGCGCCCCCGCGATCCCGCCCGCGCGCCCTGCACTTGGGGCCCGCCGCGGCCGAGGCCCTGCAGGGCATCCGGGGCGCGCTCGACGCGTCGCGGCGTGAGCGCCTGAGGCTGACGACGACGCAGCACACGAGTCGGGGGCTGCCGAGGGTGCCCCCTGGCTCCTCCTCCTCGCTCCTCCTCTCCTCCCCTCCTCCTCCTCCTCCTCCTCCTCCTCCTTCCCTCCTCCTCGCTCCTCCTCTCCTCCTCCTCCTCCTCCTCCTCCTCCTCCTCCTCCTCCTCCTCCTCCTCCTCCTCCTCCTCCTCCTCCCCCTCCTCCTCCTCCTCCTCCTCCTCCTCCTCCTCCTCCTCCTCCTCCTCCTCCTCCTCCTCCTCCTCCTCCTCCTCTCCCTCCCTCCTCCCCTCCCCCCTCCTCCTCCCCCTCCTCCTCCTCCTCCTCCTCCTCCTCCGCCTCCGCCTCCGCCTCCTCCTCCTCCTCCTCCTCCTCCTCCTGCTCGCTCTTGGGGTTCGTTCGCTCCTCCTCCTCGCTCCTGGTGTCCACGAGCTCCGGGTGCTTCAGTTTTGCCACACCTGGCGCGTTCGCCCCATGCCGGGGCCCGGGGCCCTCACAGATCGGTCGGGCGTGAAACTTGCGCAGGGAGATTGGGTCCAGGACTCTGGTGGTGTTTTTTGTTGCAGATGTTGCAGTCGGTTCGCAACATCGGATCTCAGGGTCCACAGCTTGTCCTTCCATTTTTGAGCCCCTGGGTCCCTCTGGGCCTCGTGAGGATTGCTCTGGAGGCCGTCGGGGGCCTCAGAAGTCCTTGGGACACTTTCGGCCAGGGGCACTTCCTGGCAACACCCGAGCGATGGGCGTGGGGGACTACCTTTCCATCGACAGCGACACGCTGCATAGCGATCACAGGAGCTCCCAGCTGTTCACGACCATGGCTTCGAGCTTCGAGCTCCTGACCGCCCTTCGGAAGCTCAGCCCCATCAGCCCAGACGCAGCCCTCCTCCCTGGCGACCTGGAGCTGGTCGTCAACCAGGTGGACAGGCGGCCGATAGCTTCCATTGGATGGAATGCCACTGGCTCCCTTCTGCACAGCCACGATTGCGCGTGGCTCTACCTCGGCCAGGGCCGGAAGGACTGGCTCTTGCTCCCTCCCAGCTTCGACTGGAAGCCGCTCATGGAGGCGGACCCGTGCAGCCTTGTCCGCGGCGCCTGGGACGGCTCGAGCAGCCATGCGCGCATCCCTGGGGCAGTGGTGTGCCAGCAAGAGGCTCAGAGGAGACAAAGGTACTGACACCGCGACCCTTCCCTCATTTTCCCCTGGTCGGGCCTCCTGGGAGGCCCTCGTCGCCAAGGCTGGGTTCGCCTCGAAATTCTGGTCAGAACGCATCCCAGGAGAGGTCCTGGAGGTCGCGGTATCGGTAGCCTTTTTTGTTCGCTAGAGGCTGGGGACGTGGTGCTCGTGCCCAACGGCTGGTCGCACGCCACGTGCAACGAGGCCTCCGGCCTGACCGTCGGCTGGGGCGCCCAGGGTGATGTCAGCAGCTGGCGGCCAATCCATCGCGCCGCGCGGGACGGCCGCGAGGAGTCCGCCAGCGCGGGCCCAGGCAAGGACAGAACTGACGTGGAGCCACTGCTGCTCGCAGCCGAGCACGGGCACGTGCCGTTCCTGAAAGCTCTCAGGGGCTCGATCGAAGCAACAGATTGCGACAGGCTCGCGCCGCGTTGGCGCGGCGGCGACCCTTCCAAAATACCTTCCAAAAACCTTCCAAACACTTTCTAAAACACCTTCCAAAATTTAGCAACATCGCCCAATCCATTCCATGAACCTCTCAAAAACCTTCCAAAAAGACCTTCCAAAAACCTTAGTGACGATTTGTTTGTGAAGATTTTTAAGAGGTTCCTGTCAGCGCTATCGGGAGGCCGCGACCGTTCAATGCGGAGCTGTAGCCGCGCGGTCCCAGAAAGTGGTGCGCAAGTCGGCACGACACGAACGTGCTGTGTCAGGGTTGGAGGTGAGGGTTGGTCGAGTGGCATCTGTCGGCCGCAGGGATGGTCTTGTGCAGCGGGGGCATGGAGAAGAGGGCGGCCCACCTTTAGGGCAGTTCAAGAGCAAGTGGGCCTGCCCTGGCCCTGATACCAGCCGTGGCTGTGTTCAAAATCCCCGAGCGCCCGAGGCTCTCCTGGCGGCGCGCCGCGCTGCAGACCCTCCGATCAAGGACACGCGGGCCACGGCGGCCAAGGCTCCAGGCCTCCCTTGATGGGGTCCGAGCAGGTGGCGTCGGAGGATCGCGCCGCCTCGCCGACGCATCGGGCGATGCGGCTCGACGTGGAGCCCGACTCCTCCCACGCCGACGTCGCCGACGCATCGGCGATGCATCGGCGATGCCTCGACGGTGCGGCGCGAGTCTCCGACGCCATCTGCTCTGACCCCACCTGGGGGGCCCCCCGAGGCGCTGGTGGCGGCGGCCACCAACGGGCACCCGGGCGCCGTGGGCCACCTGCTGGGGGCCTTCCGGGGCATCGCGCTGGGGCCCTGCGGCGCGCCGGACACCCCGCTGCACGAGGCGGCCCGCCGAGGCCACGCAGAGGTCCGAGGCAGGGACGAACAAATTGATTGTAGGTCGGGCCTGTCCCCCCCACCAGGGGGACATTGGGCGAAAACTGAGGAATACCCCAAACATACGCAGCAAAAGGCGCAAACGTAGTCAGAACCTTGCCCCCTGATTCTATTTTGATACTATGTTTGAAGTTTCCTCCTGTAGCGGGACAGGCCCGACTTCATCATAATTCGTAAAGCTGTCGAAGCTCCGCGCGGCTTCGCCGCCCTGATGTGCCCATGTGGCAACGCAACACGAGCCGTGTTCAAAAAATGCAACGGGAGGGTGTCGCGTGTCTGCTCGGCGTGTTGGCCCGCGTTCCGGCGAGCGCGTCGCGCCGAACGTGCGCCTTCGATCTCCGTGTTGCGTGTCCGTTGCCAACACGCCGCGGGCTGCGTGCTGCGCACTGGGGCTGCACACGCGCTGGAAACGCCTCCCTGGCGCGCGGAGCGCGCCAGTGGCGGCGCTGGAGGCGCCGCCAGGAGGGATTTTGGGCAAACGGCAACGGGGGGGGCAATCATCGTGGGAGGACCGAGGAGTGCAGGAGAGTGGCCCCAAGGGGGGCCCTGGTAAGCGGCCCCCTGAACTGCCGCCGCGGGCCCAACAGGTTTGTTTCTGCGGGGCGAGAGCGAACCTCTTCCGCTAAAAGCTAGGCGGGCTACGCACAGCTTTCATTAGGGAGACAGAGCAAAGGAAGGCGGGGCCTCAGGCGGCCGGAGTTGGCGAAGCCCGGGGTGCAGGCGGTGCCGAAGTGGATGTGCAGGAGCAGGTGCGCCGCGGACTGGTACCGGGGGCGAAGACCCGGAGTCGCGGGCCCAACGGGTGCACGAAAGATGCACGTTTTTTCGCCCCCATCTGTCTTGCCCTCGCGTCAACAAACACCCGACCAGCGCCGATCCGAGTTATTTGCACGGAGCCCAGGAAGTTTGTGCGCATGTTGCATGCCGATGGTTTCAAGGGCGGCACTGGAGGCTCCGCCAGGTAGGGTTCAGCGCAGACCTTCGAACCTCGATCTTCGATCCTGGGGAGGGGGGGTGCTCGGCTCCACCAGGCTGGTGGCTGCGCTCGCAGCACCAGCCGTGGCTGCCCCGGGAGGGCCTCCCCCCCTGCCCCAAAAAACCTCGAGCGTGAATCCCGACCAACCCGACCTTCGATTCTCCTGGCCCGAGCGCTGATGTGTGTGATGCCGTTCTTTCTTCCTCCGCAGGTGTGCCGCACCATCCTCGAGTGGGCCGCGCCAAGCGGCTCCGGCGGCGCGGCTGTCGAGCGAGCGGGCTTCACCTGCGTCGGGAGGAGGCAGGTGCAGCGGGCGCCCGCCCCCGCCGTGCACGCCGTGAACCCCCAGGGTGCCACCGCGCTGCACCACGCGGCGCGGTGCGGGCACGCGGAGGTCTGGACGCCTCCATTGCAGCATCGTCTAGCCTATCCCCATTCCCATTGGGCCATGGCATCTCAGCCCCCATCGGCGGTGGTGCTATCCGGGAGAGTCCCGTTCGGTCTGGCATTATCCCGGCTACCTCGGCTCGGTCCCCCGCGCAGTCCTGCCAAATCTCTAATCTGGCTCAATGGCACCTTCATCGGGCTTCATGGATCGTTCTTGCGAAGACCTCCAAAACGTTGTATCCTGGCCGAGGAGGTCAGGGATTGCCGCGATGGATGCAACTTGGCAACGATCGGGCATCAAAAGGGTCACTCTTGCCAAGGGCCGTTCCCGCGTGGCCCCGACAGTCTCAGCATCGTCCAACCCATCCCCATTCCCATTGGGCCGTGGTGGTCCGCAGAGCTCGAAGGATCAGGCGTATATCGCCACCTAAATGGGGAAGTCGGCCATTGTGGCCGAGGCCACGCCAGTGGGGATTTGGATCGGTTAAACGACGTTCGCCCCCTCTAACAAGATGCTTTTCCCCCCAGGCATCCCGCGACTCAAAAAATATTTCAGGCGGCCAGTTAGTCATTGTCTTTGGCCACTGGAGGCCGATGTCGGACCTCGGGGCCGTGACAGAGGGACTCGGAATGACAACAAACGCCCTGGGGAAGGGGTCGAGCGATGGTGGCCCACTCATCGAACCAGATATCCGTTTTGACCGCCCCCTCCGCTGCGACTGATTTCTGTACCAGCGCGCCTTCCGTCCTTCAATGAGTGTTCAATCGGGAGCAATCCCGCGCATCCCGCTGAACTGATCTGGCTGAATCCCGGGCTGAATCCGGCCTCCGCGGGGTGAATGGTGGTGTTCCCAACCATCTTGTATTGAGTTGGGTCCTCGCTTTGTGTCGGCGGCGCCCCGCGTCTCGCCTCTCCTCTCCTCCTCGCCCGCCTCCTCCCCCTCCCCCTCCTCCCCCTACTCCCTCCTCTCTCCCACCACCCCACTTTGGCACACCCCTCACACGCTACGTAGCCGCATAGGGAACTCCACCCAAGGCCCCAGTGGTTGCACCCGCATGCTGCCGCATCCCACTTTGGCACCCCTGTGCCATGTTTCGTGGCCCCATGCGGGGGTTCCACCTGGGGCCCCACTGGTTGCGCCCGCATGCCGCCGCCACCCAACGTTGGCGTACCCCTCACACGTTTCGTGGCCCCATAAAAGGAGGCCCCACCTATGGCCCAACTGGTTGCGCCGAGATGCCGCCGCCACCCCACGTTGGCGCACCCCTCACACGTTTCGTGGCGCCGTAGGGAGCTACACCCATGGCCCCAGTAGTTGCGCCCGCATGACGCCGCCACCCCACGTCGGCGCACCCCTCACATGTTTCGTGGCCGCATCATGGGGCTCTACCGAAGGCCCCAGTGGTTTCGCCCGCATGCCGCTGCCACCCCACCTTGGCAGACCCCTCACACGTTTCGTGGCCCCATAGCGAGCTCCGACCAAGGCCTCAGTGGTTGCGTACGCGGCCCCACAGTGAACTCCACCTAAGGCCCCAACCGGCAGGAATCGCATGCGTGACCGTGCCCATTTCGGCACACCCCTCGCACGTTCCTGGCCCCATACGAAGCTTCGCCCAAGGCCCCAGTGGCGGGATTCACATGGGTGACCGCGCCTATCTCGGCACACCCCTCGCACGTTTCGCGGCCCGGTAGGGTGCTCCACCGAAGGCACGATCGGCAGGAAGCGCAAGCGTGATTGCGCCCATGTTAGCACACCAGTCACACGTTTCGTGGCCCTGTAAGAGCTCCACCAAAGGTCCCACCGCCTGCTGCTCCCCAGACAGCGACCTGCTGCTCCCCAGGGCAGGGCCGACAGACGCTCAGATCAGCAGTGGCGAGTTACATCCAGATGTAATCCGTTGCGGCTGACCCCTGCGACCCCATCGTCAACGTCGTTCCGTCCTTCTCACGCACTGCTTTGTCCTTTTGCTAGCCCCCCCTCTTAGTTGCCACCTGGCTTGAGGTACTCCCAGCTGCATCTGGTTGGGTCTTTCGCCAGGCTAATTTCCAGCATGTGGCTTGATGCCCTGCATCGTTCTCACGACGGCAACCGAGGAGTTGATTTCTAATCCTTTTGGAGAAGGAGGATCGTTGGGTGCCACATGTCACCATAATAAAAAGGGGGCTGGCCGCTCCTCCCGCCGAGCTGGTGGCACTCCGCTCCAGGCGCGCCCCTAGGGGTGCCCAGAAGGGGGTGCGCCACCATTTCGAGGGGGGCGGCCTCTGGAGACGGAGCTCTGGTGGTGGTGGCTCTCATGAACAGGGGTGGCCTCCCAGAACAGGTGGTGGGGCTTCTCCTCGAGGCGCGGGCCAGCGCACTCGGGGACAACGCCTTCGGCGCGACGCCGCTGCACCAGGCGGCGATCCACGGCCCGGCCGCGGTCGTCGCGCGGCTGCTGGCCGCCGCGGGGCCGCAGGAGGTGGCCGCCGCGGACAGGAACGGCAGGTCTCTCCGAGAGCCGAAACACGGGGACCATGACCAAGATGCCACGTGGTCTTTCCGATCCCGATGCTCGTGAAGCATATTATACCCCCTTAGCCCTAATGACGCACTGCATTCGTGACCTGATGGATGCCCTCGGTTTTAGGGCTATCCATAAGCATGTGCGTGTGGTTTCGTCTAAGACGTCTGCGGAAAGACCCCTTATCCCTAATGTACTGGCCCTCTAAGGTAGGCACCTCCCACAGGAGTAGAAGTACTGCCATTGCTTATCAGATCTTGGTCATGGTCCATGTCGGCCATCGCCGATTCGCGATGATGATCTACGAATGGACGCTGGCCAAGATGGACGGTGACCAAGATGAAAAGCGGCGTATCTGCGTTCTGTCTGGGTCATGGTCCCTGTCTTCTTCCCCCCCAGGTCTCCTCTGCACCAGGCCGCCCTCTACGGCCACGGCGGGGTTGTGGAGGCTCTCGGAGAAAGAACAAGCGTACGATGCCGACACTCCTTGCCCCGTGCTCGCCTCTTTGGGCCTCCGTGGAAGCCCTCGTCGCCACGGCTGGGTTTGCCTGGAGGCACTGGCCAGAACGCACCTCGGGAGAGGTCCGCGGAGCAGCGGCATGTGAGGGCCTGTTTTCCACCACCACCGCCACCAGAAGTTGGAGGAGGAGGAGGAGGAGGAGGGGGTCCTCCTCCTCCTCCTCCTCCTCCTCCTCCTCCTCCTCCTCCCCCTCCTCCTCCTCCTCCTCCACCTCCTCCTCCACCTCCTCCTCCTCCACCTCCTCCCCTCCTCCAGCTTATGGTGGTGGTGGTGGAAAGCAGGCCCATCGGCAGCGGCGTCGGCATCGGCATCGGCATCCCCAGGCGCTGCTGCGGGAGCCCCGCCTGCGGGCGGCGGCCGAGCTCGGGGACAAGCAGGGCCTGCGGCCAGCGGAGATCGCCGCCGGCAAAGGCGGGGCTCCCCCTTTTCACAGCGGCGCAGGGGCCAGAGGCGACGATAGGGGCGAATAGCCCAGGGGGGAGCAATACATGTATCCAGGGGCGCCGATGATCAATGTCTTCGGCGAGGCTCCTGGGCGAATACGTGTAATGCCCGCCCCTGGACTATTCGCCCTTCTCGTCGCCGCCGAAGGGGCCATGTTCTCGCAGGTCCGATCGAAGAAGAAACAAACACACATAAGCATTAACTTTTGTTTTGGCGCTCCGCGCGGCTTTCTTGGATCCGCGCCTGGGCCCCCTCCCTGGCGCGCGGGGCGCGCCAGGGGCGGCGCCGGAGGCGCCGCTGGGGGGGGGGGCCCAGGCGCGGAGCGCCAAAGGTTTATGTTTACTCGTTGTTGCTTCTCCTTCTAATGTTCACGCAGCTCTCGTCCTCGTCCTCGTCGTCCTCGTCGCCCTCGGCGTCCTCGTCGTCCCCTTCGTCCTCCTCGTCCTCGTCGTCGTCGTCGTCGTCGTCGTCCTCGTCGTCCTCGTCGTCCTCCTCGTCCTCGTCGTCGTCGTCGTCCTGCTGCTCGCCCGGCGCAGGAGCCAGACCGCATGTTCGCGCAGGTCTGAGTGCAGTCGCACGGATCTTCCTTTGCGGGTCAACAGCTCCCGTCGTGAGGCCTGGCGCCGGGCCTGGGTCGGACCGCAGACACCGCGTTGCGTGCCGCTCGAGGGCGGTGCGCCCAGGGGGTTCAGCAGCTCCCGTCTTGAAGTCCGGCTCGGGGTGTGGCCCTCCTCCTCCTCCTCCTCCTCCTCCTCCTCCTCCTCCTCCTCCTCCTCCTCCTCCTCCTCCTCCTCCTCCTCCTGCCTCCTCCCTCCTCTCCTCCCTCCTCCTTCTCCTCCTCCTCCTCCTCCTCGTCCTTCTCCTCCTCTCCTCCTCCTCCTCCTCCTCCTCCTCCTCCTCCCTCTCCTCCTCCTCCTCCTCCTCCTCCTCCCGTACCTCCTCGTCCTCCTCGTCCTCCTCCTCCTCCTCCTCACCCTCCTGCTCGATCCACATGCCGCGCGCACCCGCTCGAGGATGGAGCGTCCCAGGGCCAGCGCGGCGTCCCACAAGGACCGCACCAGGTGGACCTCGCGCGTGCCCGATCTGGGGTGCCGCGCCCCTGGGGAGTCCCAGGCACGGGCCCAGGGACGTACTCTGACACGGCCGCAGGCACGCCAGCAGATATACACCCGCAGACATGCCCCCATAATTAGCACGTCACCAGGCACGGTCCACAGAGGCGTCCCCAGGGACGGCCCTACAGGAACGACCCCTGGACACGCCCGAAGACACATCCCCAGACACGCCTCCAGACACATCCCCAGATCCCCTGGCACCCCAGACGTTGCCCCTGACATTGTCCCCAGACAAGCGCCCAGACGCGCCCAGAGCGTGTTTCTAAAGCCTGTGGGCCATAACGCGCCTTATGCCCCCCGCGTAACGCTCCCCCCCCCACACACAAGATAACGCTCGCCCCCCCCCCACGTAGTGCGCCTCCGGCTTTGCTATTGTGATGCTCGCAGGTTGCCGTGGTGCCCAGAGAACACTGAGCACCCTCGTCGCCCAGCAAACACCAGCACAGAATAATGCTCGAATGAGGGCGCGGTGGAGAAACACTACGGCGCACGATGGTGCACGCGAGCACTGCGCAGTACATAGGCCATGCGGTGCACGCGGCTGCGGCGGTGCATGCCGCGCTGCGCAACGTGGTGCCTGATGCGCGCAGGCGTTCTGGAACTGGAACCGCACGGGGGGGGAAGGCATTACCTTCATAATAAAGGATTTCCCGGGGGATGAGGATAATTCTGATGATGATGACGATGATGACGACGATGATGATGATGATAATGATGATAATGATGATGCTGATGATGATGATGATGATGATGATGATTATGATGATGATGATGATGATGATGATGATGATGATGATGATGATGATTATTATTATTATGATTATGATGATGATGATGCTGATGATGGGCACCTTGGGCGCTCGGCACAAAGCTCACTCGAGAGATCTCTTCGCTCGAGGCTATACAACTTGCCAGCAGGCGCTCGGAACAAGGCTGACTCGAGAGATCTCGAGGCCCGTGGCTAATTATACAACTTGCCAGCAGGCGCTCGGCACAAGGCTGACTCGAGAGATCTCGAGGCTGGTTGCTATACAACTTGCCAGCAGGCGGTCGGCACTGGTGATGATGATGCTGATGATGATGATGATGATGATGATGGTGATCAAATTGAACTGGTGAGAATCCCGCCGCCCTTCCACACGCTCGTGATTGCGGACGCTGGTGTGATGAGGCCACCATGGCCATGCTCAGCCTTTCTTTAATGCTTTTGCTAGTCAAGATGAGATGATAGCAACTTCGATTCGCAACTTTCCCCGTGGATTATAAAGTTCGGCCTCCGCGCCCCTCTCCACAATTAAATCCTGTTGGACGGGGATAATAAGAATAGAGGGGGGGAAGGGAGGGGTTAGGCTTTATTATCGCCCGCGCTCGGTTAATGTCGCGCGGATCTGATCAGTACACAGTCGAGCTTCGGAGGGGGGGGACTTCACTTGGAGGGCAACGCTTGTTGGCGAGGGATCGTGGGGGGAGGCGGTACCCTCCTGGCCGCATGGGCACCCAGAAAGCTCTCACCGCACGCGCGCCTTGGGCCTTCGAGGCAGCTGTAGGGGCGGTGCCCATTCTTTCATAGGATGCTCCTCATGGGAGGTTAATCCAGTAACGGATCTGGTATATCCATGGTCGTACTTTGGCTTCATCTGTCAAAGTCCCATATAGTTATTTTGATTCCCGCTTCATCCAGCCTCATCGGGTTCAGTCCTGGGTTTCGCATGGGTAGATCAAGTTCGATGCCCCCGTAATCGAGCTTCGTAGCCGTAGCCCTTGGGCGTTCTCGCGAAGAACTCCCCGAAGTTGCTGCTCAATACTTGTGCGACGTATTTGTCCGAGTCTTCTCCATTTTTAAACGTAGACTCTGGAGTGGCCGAAGACCAACTCAGGCTGCCGGGTTCAGCAGATTTAGCTAACTTCGTGTTTGGGTCGACCGTGAGGCCGCGGCGGAAAATGCTCTGTAGAACCAGGCATCCGGCGTCATGATTTTCATAACGTGAGGTTCCCTGGGACTTGGGCGTTGCATTTTTTCACACCGGGCGTTTTCGCCCGTGTTCGGGCCCTGGGACCATCACAGATCGATGCAGGTAGAAACATGGCGCAGAAACTTCGTCTCGAGGGCTCTGGTTGTGATCTTCGCGATGTTGCAATTTGTTCGCAACGTGGGGTCTCAGGATCTGGATCCAGTCCTAGTATCAGTTGTCCATGCCGGGTTGATGTTTGACGGCCACGGGACTCGGCAGAAGGGCCCCTAAGAGGCAGCAGACGGCCAGTGCCGTCGCTTCTACGTCGATTTCGGTTGGTTGGCAGACCACACCAGAGGATGTATGAATACCTCTGTAGTGTGCGAGCACATGGATCACTTCAGGCATACACGTTGTATTCGGCGGATCTGTTGCGGTGAATCGAATCAAATAAACCAAGTAGCATAAGCATGCTTCTCGCTGCTCCGTGCGAATTGATTGGATCTGCGCTGGGTTTCCCTGGCGCCGCCTCCAACGCCGCCTCTGGCGCGCTCCGCGCAACATGGGAGGGGGAGGACCCAAACGCCGATCCAAGAGATCCGCGAGGACCTCCAAGAAAGGTATGATTGTCCTGTTGCTTGCTCCTCTACTGAGGCAAAAGCGCCCCGCCGCTATTTGACAACCGCGCATGTCGGGGACCTGTCCCTTGGAGGTCTACGTGGTCTGGGAGCTCTCTGGCCCTTCCGGGGCCGCTGCCGCCTCCCTGCCCCCTCCCCGGCTCTCGCCGCCATCGGCTGCGGACGCGTCCCGCCGTCAGCCCGACCGCTTGTTGGACCCAGCTCGCCGGTGACCCCCGTCATATTCCCCCAAGAACAGGGCGGGGACCTGCCCCGCAGGGCACGCCGCGGCCGTGTCCGCGCTGGCCTCCGCCGGGACCTCCCTGGGCGACGCCCTGCACTGGGCGGCGTACCACGGGCACGGGGAGGCGGCTGGCCGGCTGCTGGACCTCGCAGAGGCCAGCCCGTCGCCGTCGGGCGAGGGAGGCAGTTCGGCGGCGCGCCGAGGGGAGAAGAGAGAGGGGGCAGGCCCTCTCAGAAGGCGGCGGGGGTCCGGAGAAGGTTCAACAATCAGGAGGGACCAAAACACACAGACAAACTTGATCGTCGATTCCCCCCAAAATATTGGAAAATATGGGAGGTGGGGGGGAAGACAATGACCCATAACATATGGGAAACCATGGTATCCTTTTATTTGTGTGTATTTATTCGTGCGTCCCAGGGCCCCTTCAAGCAAGCTCCTCAGAAGGCCAGAGGCCTTCTGTGCCTTCTGTGAAGGCCCGCCCCCTCTCGCTTCCCCCTTCGGGCGTGCCGCTGAGAAGTGGAGGAGGAGCATGCCCGGACCTCCTGGCGTCGTGCACGAAGATGCGTTGTGAAAGGTTTTTTGGCTACCTTCGGCATCTTTGGGGGCGCCGTGCTGAACAGAGCCACGGTGTCGGGTGTCTGGGGAGTAGGGAGGGGCTGTCGGGGACCGGCGTACGTTTTTGGTTTTCGGGGTCTTCTTGGGGGAGCCTTTCGACCGTGGACCTCGCGGGGGTCCTCCTCCAAGGAGCGACAACGAAGATTTCTACCGAGGTCCACTCAGACCTCCAACGCATCGAACAAAGACCATACAAAGAGATGTCTTACATTTTTTCGGCCTCTCAGGTTCCTTACAGGGCCTTCGGATTGTGAACATTTCATCCCATCAGCTCAATCTGGTGCCTGCCTGGGGCCAGCCAGTCTGCATCGAATAGGTACGCTTCCTGCCGCCTCAAACACGTTTATAGTTTATGTGCTCATTTCCGCGACCGGCTTGTGTGCAGTTTGCTAGCTTGGCGTCCGACGTCTCCTGGGGCGTGACCGGTTTCCGACCTGAGGAAGTCGCGATCTGTAGGTCTTCGGCCCCGAGGGCCGAGCAACTTCTGCACCAGACCACGCTGGAGAGGTGCCGAGGAGAGCCCGTTCGCATGTTTCGGTGCCCGAGTGCCGTTCCTCGAGTCCCCGCCGAAGTACCGCCCCGGGACGGCAAGCGCCGACCTGTATCCGAGGGCCGAGCAATTTCTGCACCAAACCACGCTGGAGAGGTGCCGAGGAGAGCCCGTTCGCATGTTTCGGTGCCCGAGTGCCGCTCCTCGAGTCCCCGCCGAAGTACCGCCCCGGGACGGCAAGCGCCGACCTGTATCCGAGGGCCGAGCAATTTCTGCACCAAACCACGCCGGAGAGGTGCCGAGGAGAGCCCATTCGCATGCTACGGTGCCCGAGTGCCGTTCCTCGAGTCCCCGCCGAAGTACCGCCCCGGGACGGCAAGCGCCGACCTGTATCCGAGGGCCGAGCAATTTCTGCACCAAACCACGCCGGAGAGGTGCCGAGGAGAGCCCATTCGCATGCTACGGTGCCCGAGTGCCGTTCCTCGAGTCCCCGCCGAAGTACCGCCCCGGGACGGCAAGCGCCGACCTGTATCCGAGGGCCGAGCAATTTCTGCACCAAACCACGCTGGAGAGGTGCCGAGGAGAGCCCGTTCGCATGTTTCGGTGCCCGAGTGCCGTTCCTCGAGTCCCCGCCGAAGTACCGCCCCGGGACGGCAAGCGCCGACCTGTATCCGAGGGCCGAGCAATTTCTGCACCAAACCACGCTGGAGAGGTGCCGAGGAGAGCCCGTTCGCATGTTTCGGTGCCCGAGTGCCGTGCCTCGAGTCCCCGCCGAAGTACCGCCCCGGGACGGCAAGCGCCGACCTGTATCCGAGAGCCGAGCAATTTCTGCACCAAACCACGCCGGAGAGGTGCCGAGGAGAGCCCATTCGCATGCTACGGTGCCCGAGTGCCGTTCCTCGAGTCCCCGCCGAAGTACCGCCCCGGGACGGCAAGCGCCGACCTGTATCCGAGGGCCGAGCAATTTCTGCACCAAACCGCGCCGGAGAGGTGCCGAGGAGAGCCCATTCGCATGCTACGGTGCCCGAGTGCCGTTCCTCGAGTCCCCGCCGAAGTACCGCCCCGGGACGGCAAGCGCCGACCTGTATCCGAGGGCCGAGCAATTTCTGCACCAAACCGCGCCGGAGAGGTGCCGAGGAGAGCCCATTCGCATGCTACGGTGCCCGTGCCGTTCCTCGAGTCCCCGCCGAAGTACCGCCCCGGGACGGCAAGCGCCGACCTGTATCCGAGGGCCGAGCAATTTCGCACCAAACCACGCGGAGAGGTGCCGAGGAGAGCCCATTCGCATGCTACGGTGCCGAGTGCCGTTCCTCGAGTCCCCGCCGAAGTACCGCCCCGGGACGGCAAGCGCCGACCTGTATCCGAGGGCCGAGCAATTTCTGCACCAAACCACGCCGGAGAGGTGCCGAGGAGAGCCCATTCGCATGCTACGGTGCCCGAGTGCCGTTCCTCGAGTCCCCGCCGAAGTACCGCCCCGGGACGGCGCCGACCAATCCGATGACCTGTATCCGAGGGCCGAGCAATTTCTGCACCAAACCACGCCGGAGAGGTGCCGAGGAGAGCCCATTCGCATGCTACGGTGCCCGAGTGCCGTTCCTCGAGTCCCCGCCGAAGTACCGCCCCGGGACGGCAAGCGCCGACCTGTATCCGAGGGCCGAGCAATTTCTGCACCAAACCGCGCCGGAGAGGTGCCGAGGAGCGCCCATTCGCATGCTACGGTGCCCGAGTGCCGTTCCTCGAGTCCCCGCCGAAGTACCGCCCCGGGACGGCAAGCGCCGACCTGATCCGAGGGCCGAGCAATTTCTGCACCAAACCACGCTGGAGAGGTGCCGAGGAGCGCCCATTCGCATGCTACGGTGCCCGAGTGCCGTGCCTCGAGTCCCCGCCGAAGTACCGCCCCGGGACGGCAAGCGCCGACCTGTATCCGAGAGCCGAGCAATTTCTGCACCAAACCCCGCCGGAGAGGTGCCGAGGAGAGCCCATTCGCATGCTACGGTGCCCGAGTGCCGTTCCTCGAGTCCCCGCCGAAGTACCGCCCCGGGACGGCAAGCGCCGACCTGTATCCGAGGGCCGAGCAATTTCTGCACCAAACCACGCCGGAGAGGTGCCGAGGAGAGCCCATTCGCATGCTACGGTGCCCGAGTGCCGTTCCTCGAGTCCCCGCCGAAGTACCGCCCCGGGACGGCAAGCGCCGACCTGTATCCGAGGGCCGAGCAATTTCTGCACCAAACCACGCCGGAGAGGTGCCGAGGAGAGCCCATTCGCATGCTACGGTGCCCGAGTGCCGTTCCTCGAGTCCCCGCCGAAGTACCGCCCCGGGACGGCAAGCGCCGACCTGTATCCGAGGGCCGAGCAATTCTTGCACCAAACCACGCCGGAGAGGTGCCGAGGAGAGCCCATTCGCATGCTACGGTGCCCGAGTGCCGTTCCTCGAGTCCCCGCCGAAGCATCGCCCCGGGACGGCAAGCGCCGCCCTGTAGCCGTGGGGTCGCGTATCGGCCGCGGCCCCACGGACGCAGGTCGGCTTTGCGCGAATGCCCCGCGCGGAGCGCATCGGCGGGAGCTGCGCATCCCTGTTGGGATCGAAGTCTGGGGTGGTTCGATTCAGCACCGGCTCTGGTCTATCCGTGGTCGACAGCCGGCTCGATCCGGTGTCATCACGCCTTGTTCAGTTTGGTGATTGTTTTAGCCTGGGCTAATTAGTTTGGCTTTGGTGGCCCCAGAATCGGGTCAAGGAGTCCTGAACCGTTCGTACGAAGAGCCCCCAGCAGTTGCCCCCCCTAAAATCCGAGGCTTGGACTTCCCCATGTCCACTGGCTAGGATACCGATCTTCGTGGATATGTCGCGGCCCTGTTGGGGCCAAATGCAGGCATTTCCACTGCCCACTGGTGCCCTAAGACATCGTCTGCCCAGACGGTGGACACGGATAAATCCCCGTCTAACGATGCTCTTGGGTGCTTCTTTGCTGCCCCTGGAGGCCAACCAGTCGCTCGAGGGCGCGCTGCTGAGGCTGAACCGGCAGGCGTCGGCGGCGCGCAGAAGGGGGGTGGCGCGGGTGCCCGGGGTGGGGGCTGCTTGGAGGGCAGGGGGCGCCTCCGAGGAAGGGATCGGAGGCCTCCACGGAGGCTCCTCGTGGGGCTGGATCGCTTCTCCGCGTTCCCCTGCCCCCAGAGCAAATCCGCGGTCATAAGTTGATATATATATATAATATATATGTATTATATATATATATATAATATATATATATACATACATACATACATACATACATATATATATATATATATATATATATATATACGTAACACCCCGCAATTGCGGGTAAGAGTGAGGGGGCGGGCGCGGGCGACGCGGGCGTCGAGCCGGCGGTCCTCGTGGCCCTCACCTTCCTTGTCGATGGCGTCCTCCTCCTCCTCCTCCTCCTCCTGCTCCTCCTCCTTTTCCGCCTCCACCTGGAAGGAATTCAAAAACAGCCCGCCGCAGGCGCCGAACATTTTGATTTGTACACTGAACGCGGTTTGGGTCGCAGGTTCTCCACCTGGAACGAATGCAAAAGAAACCCGCCGCAGGCGCCGAAGTTTTGGCTTGTTCAGTGAACGTAGTTTGGGTCGCGGGTGGGTCTCGGGCTCTGCACCTCCACCTGGAAGGAATTCACAAACAGCCCGCCGCAGGCGCCGAACATTTTTGATTTGTACACTGAACGCGGTTTGGGTCGCGGGTGGGTCGCAGTTTCTCCACCTGGGACGAATGCACAAGAAGCCCGCCGCAGGCGCCGAACATTTTGATTTGGTCGCGGGGTGGGTCGCGGGTGGGTCGCGGTGGGTCGCGGGTGGGTCGCGGGCGCGGTTTGGGTCGCGGGTGGGTCGCAGGTTCTCCACTTGGAACGAATGCAAGAGATTCCCGCCGCAGGCGCCGAACATGTTGGGTGGGTCGTGGGGTGGGTCGCGGCTGGGTCGCGGCTGGGTCGCGGCTGGGTCGCGGGGTGGGTCGCGGGTGGGACGACGACAACAAGCAAAAAACAGCAATAACAACAACAACAACACCAACAACAACAACAACAGCAACAACAACAGCAACAACAACACCAACAACAACATCAATCATTTAAGACTGGGGACACTCCGTTCTCACCAGTGCCAGGGTTTTCATAGGAGGCGGGCAATACCCCCACTTTGTGGGGGGGCCGGTTCAAGCTCTACCAAATTTCCAAACGACTCTTCGCCACCACCCACACCCAGCTTCCCGCCCTATGACGTTCGGACACTTCACTTCGTGGCATGCGGACGACCGTGGCTACTATTCAGGGCCCCGCGGCCGACGACGACGGCGTGCGCGCGCGAAGAAAAAACGAATGTGTCCCGCATGGTATTATTTGACAGGGATGATGGCCCTGGCAGGTGCGCAACCGTTGTCGCAGAAGTTCGAAAAAGTTGCTCGCAAAAGCCCGTTTGACAGAAATGTTTAAAAAGTGTTGGGTTTCCTACGAATCCGCAAGAGCGCGCGGGATGAGATTTTGACATTTTTTTGTTGAAAAACCATTGGTTTTTTGATGTTTTTATGTTAAAATCGCTCCGAACACTAAGCTTTTGGAAGGATTTCGTCTTGCGCGCGCGAATGTCCACTTTACCTTATTTTTTGCAAGGGATTCTTGAAATTTGATTATATTAGAACAAGAAATGTCATTTTATAGTGTTTTTTGCAAGGGAAAACGGATTACAACAAAACAACCGGATCTGGATCACATCGTTTTACCTGAGGCTTCCTCACGAAAATTATGAAAATGTGGCTGCGGCCTAGGCGCGGGGGGGGGGGCGTGCACCAGGGGGCCCAACAATAATTATTCTTTAGAATAAATAATGTTCAACAGCAACAACAGCAACAATAATTCGCATCGTGGACTTCCTCTTCAGCCACGCACCCAGGGACAGTGAATGACCGTTCGGTTCAGCCACCTCACTCTGACCCGCACCTCTTGATGTTCCTCCGCCGCGCACCTCTTGATGTTCCTCGTCCTGCTCCTCTTCCTCCTCCTCCTCCTCCTCCTCCTCCTCCTCCCCGTCCTCCTCCTCTTCTTCCTCCTCCTCTTTCTCCACATTATCCTTCCATCCTCTCTTCTTCCGCGTCCTCCTCGTCCCCTGTTGTCTCCTCTGCCTCGCCGTTTTTTTTTTTTTTTTTCAAGATAACGGCAAAACAATCCTTGTTCCATTGAATGCTTCCCGACTTCTCTGATCCAGGCAATTCGCCAGGGTCTGGATGGGTTGGTGTGGATGAGCGGAGCATGGAGAGGTCTTGGGGGGCTCAGACGGCATGCAAAATCCGCCGCCGCGTTTGTGCGGCACTGGCGTGCTGTGTGGTAGGGTTTGTGGACGCCCCCCTCAGGAGGGTTCTTGAGCGCCCCGGGGCCTCTTACTTGTGGGCGCCTTGAGGCAGCTTTTCCTGAACCCAGGCTTTGGGCACGGATGCCGAATTGCAGCAGGCAGCTGGATTGTCAATAGACGTGTTCAGACACAGCCCCGCCGCAGGCGCCGATGTCTTGTTGTAGAGTCGACGTGGGCTGGATTGGGGGAGTGCCGCGCGTGCGCTTTCCCAAACCAAAGCGAGCAAGCCCGCCGCAGGCGCCGATTTGCATGCTCTGACAAGCTCAGCGCGGGGGGGATCGCTGGTGGGCCACCCGAAACGAATGCAAAAACAGCCCGCCGCAGGCGCCGAATTTTGGGCTTGTTCAGTGAACGTAGTTTGGGTCGCGGGTGGGTCTCGGGCTCTCCACCTCCGCCTGGAAGGGATTCACAAACAGCCCGCCGCAGGCGGAAAACATTTGGATTTGTACACTGAACGCGGTTTGGGTCGCGGGTGGGTCGCAGGCTCTTGGGACGAATGCGAAAGAAGCTTACCGCAAGCGCCGAAAATTTTGGGTAGGTCTCGGGGTGGGTCGCGGGTGGGTCGCGGGTGGGTGGCGGTGGGTGGGTCGCGGGTGGGTCGCGGGTGGGTCCGGGGTGTTCGGGGTGGGTCGCGGGTGGGTCGCCGGTGGGTCGCGGGTGGGGTGGCGCGGGTGGGTCGCGGGTGGGTCGCGGGGGGTCGCGGGTGGGTCGCGGGTGGGTCGCGGGTTGGGTCGCGGGTGGGTCGCGGGATGGGTCGCGGGTGGGTCGCGGGCGGGTCGCGGGGTGGGTCGTGGGTGGGTCGCGGGTGGGACGTCGACAACAGACAGCAAACAACAAGAACAACAAGAACAACAACAACAACAACAACAACAACAACAACAACAACAACAACAACAACAACAACAACAACAACAATCATCTTAAGACGGATCGCTCTTATATGCGCGCGCGTCACTCAATATGTAAATCCCAAACCCTCGATACCCACCCTCTTCGTCTTCGGTCATACCGTTTTGGGGGTATATTTTTTTTACTCGCCACGTGTAGTTGGCGCAGCCCCTAAAACAGGAAGAGCAGGGGGAAGGAGGAAGGGAGAGCGAGGAGGAAAAGAGTGGGGGGAGGGAGGGAGGAGGGAAGGGGCAAGGGGGGGAGGATGGATGGAGGACGAAAGAGGTTAGCAGGAGGGGAGGGGGGCAAAAGAGGAGGTAAACAAACGGACGAACCAGACAGACGGGTCGAGCGGCGGACTCTGAGGGGCGGGTCGGGCTGGCGGGGCGGGCGGACGCCAACGGACGGGTCGGGCGGCGGACCCTCGCTGGCGGGTCGGGCGGGCGGCGGCTTAAAGCGGGCGGGCGAGATGCCAAGAGAGCGAACGGGCGGGCTGTAACAGGCGGATCGGGCGGGCGAAACCTGGCGGGCGGGCGACTAAAGGGTGAATCCTGAATGAATCACGAGGCACACCCTCGATACCCGCCCTCTTAGTATTCGAACGTACCCCCTTTAGGGGGATTATTTCTCTTTGGAAGGGCGGGCGGAGGGACGAGGGAGGAGGGAAGGGAGCAGGGAGGGACGAGGGAGGAGGGAAGATGCTAGGAGGGACGGGACGCGGAGGGGGGAGGACGATTTAGAGGGAGAGAGAGAGAGAGAGGGAGAGAAAGAGAGAGGGGGGAGGAAGGGAGGGAGGAGGGAGTTTGGAGGAGGGACGAGGAAGGAGAGAGGAGAAACAGGAGGGAGGAGGGAGGAGGCAGGAGAGGGGAGGGAGGAGGCAGACGGGAGGACGGAGGAGGGAGGCAGGAGAGGGGAGGGAGAAGGGAGGAGGAGGGAGGGAGGGAGGAGGGGAGGGGAGGGGAGGGAGGAGGGAGGAGGGAGGAGGGAGGAGGGAGGGAGGTGGGAGGCCGACCCGGGGAGGCCGCCCGGGGACCGGCCGTGGAGAGACCGCACAGGCTCCCGCAGTCTCGGGGGCGGAGGGCCCGCCCCCGAAACAGAGGAGGGAGAGTCCCAGGCGGGAGCGCCGATCCTGGATTACCGCAGATACGCTGCACACGTGTCCCTGGGCGGCTGGGCGGTGTCCTCGGAACAATAGTTTCGAGCGGCGCCCGGCCGTGGCGACGGGAACTTGCAGAAAAGGACCCCCGGAAAAGTGTTGTGAGCGTCGCTGCCGCTGCCGTCGTCGTCGTCGTCGCCGCCGCCGCCGCCGCCGCCGCCGCCGTCGTCGTCGTCGTCGTCGTCGTCGTCGTCGTCGCCGTCGTCGCGGTTTCGGTCGCAGCTTCTCCTCCCTGAAACGCGTCCCTTGCCGCCCGCGGGGCGCGCCCGGCCTCGGCGGGGAAATGAGGAGGCAAGGAGGCGAGGCGGAGCAGGGGGCAAGTGAAAATGATAAAAGCAATCATAGACGCATTTTTTCGTGAGCTCGCAACCTTGGGGGGGCGAAATGAGTTGCGATCCGCAACTACTAGCGCGCCCGCAGAGGGCACTATTCGAAGCGGGTCGACTGCGCATCGGCCAGGGGGGACACGGCATGCGAGGAAGTCCCAGGCGGGGGCGGGGGTCCTGAGTAAATGTGGATGAAGTATCAGGCGGGAGCCGTTGTTGTTGTAGTCCGGGGGGCCAACAACACAGTTTGATGGTCAGTTGTGAGGGAGGTCCC